CTGCAGGGCGACCCACCGTAGGCTAATTTGCCCTGCCCTCAGATAGAATAAGGGGAGGGCCAACACGTGCGTCGTGCCTCGCGGTGACCTGAAGGTACCTCACCCCTCCAGCAATTGCTCTCTCCCTCAGATATCATCCTTTCCCTTGCTCGCTAAATTCAGCTTCTCGACTACCACACTCAGTGATAAACCATATGCGCCGTCTATAAATCATCCATCTTTGTGTTTGCGTTTTTGAAGTTAATTTGATAGTTGAAATAGCGGAAAAGTTTTACTTTATCTTACTGCAGCTAATAATTTAGTATATATCGGTAATGATTTACTTACTTGTCCGCTATAGACAAATAATTGGTGACTTATGGCATTTATCGCGGGTAATTGATGGCTTTAGAGACACGATGTAATTGTGATCAAATGTACGTCTGACCTTGCAACTATTGAAGCAAACTAAAGTAGTCTGCTGCTCTCACTATACGTGAGGGAGTTTGCGTTGGGTTGATGGCAGCAGACCCTCTCCATTTCTTCATAATTAGTTTGAATAAATTTTTACATTCCAACTAGTTTTGGACTCATTCCTAGTAAGGCCTTGAACTTTGATCTTTCTGTTTATTTTTTCAGGTGAACTGTGTCAAATCTGGTTCCTTGACTTGGAACTTTTTTGTTCCAACTTCGGGTATGTGATCTCTTAAAGACACAGTCTTATATTTTTTTTGCTTTTATTACTATATAGTCACAAATGAATAAAGAGTCTTACATAATTTACCGGATTATTAAAATCCGGTAAATTATGTAAGATTCGAAACATGCTTTTTCATGCCGTATCTGTTACTATATCAGTGAAATCAGTATTGATTACATCAGTTACGTTTAAACTAATTATGATCCACTGACTGACTCATCGCTGATGGCGTTTGAATGCTTTCATATTTGTATGTTTTGTGTCATTTTTTCTCGGCATCCTCGCAGTGACTCACTTTGAGTATTCTCCAAACACTGCTACAATTTCTGCGTTTTTCCTATCATTCGCTTGCTCATCCCACAAAGTTGTTGTTTGTTATCCATGTCATTTCATGTTGAACTGTAAACTATCCAGCCTCTTCTTTCTTCCTCTTTGCATTTATTTGCTTCTCTTCGTTACTTTCTTGCTCACTGCTGTACCTTTGCATATAGCATTTGACCCCTTCAAGGTCATTGTAAGCAACTACCACCATTCACTATGATTGATCACTTGAAATTGCTTTCTCTTACAAAAACTTCATTTCACTCTAAATATCAAGATGATTCACATCTTCTTTTCCAAAACAATGACTGAAATTATTCTTCTCTCCTTATCGAATGCTCAGTTATTTTATTCATTCACTCATTCAATTATAGGTCAGCTAGCATTTTCCTTTTTCTTGACAGTTCCATTCGCTGACCACTAAATTCATTTAAAGAGTCCACAGTGATGAGTCATTCTTTCAGCTTTCATTTGTGGCATGAATATAATATATATGTCGCTCAGTTTGTCTATTCATTTCTATTATTTCACACACACTGTTACTTGTATCTTAGCAAAGAGCTGGTAGGTTGACTAAGAAATTAGGAAGAATCAAATGATTAATTACACACTCAAATGCCAATAATATATTTTTTTTTGCAAAAACTGGAATGAGTATCATTATGTTTGTTAATGAGTGATTTGTTGTAGAGTACGTTTCAACTGATTAAAGATTAGTGTTAGTATGATTAGGTTAATTACTAATCTGTGAGTTTATCTCCTATTCTCTTAACTGGAAAGAATTTAGGCTTTAGATGGATGACATTAGTGTTGCTAGGAGTCAGTCATTATCATATTCATCTATACTGTTCCAACATTTGATAGTAGTTTTCCTTGGCTTAATGACGAGTTGTTCCTTGGCCTGACAACTCACCTAGGCAGGGTTAAACAACTCATATCTTATGCATTGTCTGCTTGATTTTGCTTGCTTTCTTTCTAATCGGTGGTGTGATAAGTAGTCGAATTGGACTTATTCTTCAAACTTTCTTCATTTCTTGACTGTTTCTGATTTCTTTCAATCCTAAGCCATATCTCATGATTAACTCTAAACTGCACTAGAACTGTAATGGTTTTATTTTTCAGCTGAAGTTGGTAAAATTTTTTGCAGTGTTTACTTCAACGAGGGCAAACTTATTGGTATAAGCAGTTGCCAGCTGCATTTGTATCATTTGTTACTGATATTAATTAGTTATAATTTTCAGATGATAAGAAGAAACATTTAATAACACCACATCATAGTGTTATCATGAAACTGATAAGCAAGAAGCTCCGCTAAAAATGGCCTTTAACAGCTTTTATAAGGAGTCTCAGCATAATAACTTAGTTATCAAACGCTAATAAGATCTGCAGCTTTGAAAATATTTTCCAAAGAAACAAGTACTTGACTTTCCAAAATTATTAACTTTGAATACCTAGGCTACTTGATGTGAAGATAGTAATTAAGAGATAGTAAAGCAGAAATTAAATAAAATAAGTTGAACAGTAATAACAATTATAGCACTTAGTCATTTGCATAATTTAAAAAGATGTGATTCTCGTGCCAAATAAAAGCAATAACTTGAATTCAAAAATCCATAACTTGTTTTATCATCTCTAGTAATACTCACATCATACTTCATTTTATTCAGTATCTTTAGTATTTCTTTTTGCCCTCAGATTTGTTCTGCTTGAAATATTTATGATAGAATTACATCATAATCTTCATGTGTAATTAATTCTGTTGGGGTTTTTTGGTGCAAAAAACAGATATGTTTGGTATGTAGGGAATGCGCGGATGTTGACTTTTGGTGAGAAGTATGCAAGTTATTGTTCATCGTTTGAAGATAGAGTGCATGGACATACGAGCGATATTCATTATAAGCATTGTTAGCTTATTATTTTTGAATTTTCATAGATGAATCGTGTTTATCGTTGTGTTATACCGAAAGTTATCAGTGGACTGTGATGAATTTTTAAATGATAGTGATCATATAGGTCGAATTATTATCAGAAATAGTAGCCACTATTTATGGCTTACATGTCAAGTGAATTGTTCATTGAATTCATCAGGTAAATAAATGGATGTTGGGATGAACATATGACACGTCAATGTAATAATAATGATCACAGTCATTATTGCTACCAATTTAAGCACACAAAATAAACACTAATTAGAATAAGACATAAAGGGAATAATAAGCTCATATATGAAGTATAAAAAGTGTGTTCTTAACCGGTTAACAAAGCAATTATAGATGTCTCTTTATAAATAGCCAAAAATTGGTAACTGTAATGATTATAATCATCAACACAATTATAATGACACGAGGATCAATAGATTATTTTATTAATAATAATAGTTGCAGTAATAACATTTATAATAATACTAACAATAATAATTACATTATTGTTATTGTTATTACTATTAGTATTTATGCATTTGTTTATTGTAATTATCATTATTTTTGTTATCACTGAGACTATTGCCATTTGTTTTTGTTATTAAAAATTGCAAAAATTAGCCAAAGAATCAGTATGAAGCTGATATAAAATAATGATAAGTCTCAGTTATCAAGAAAAGTAGACCAGAAAGAACTTGAAGTACATATGGATGAATATCTTTTCATTATTCTATTCACACATTTTCGCTTACTAAAAGTGGTTGAAAATTATGATGCGACCTTTTTAACGTTTAACTCTAAAATTTACTAGTACTCCTATTATGTATTGGACTTTTGAACTTATGAAACTAAAGAAATTGGAATTGATCCCTTTATTGCTATTTTCCAGGTTCATGTAATTAGAGGTAGTTGGTTAGTTAGTTATCTGTTTTCGATAGTGCGAAATGTATTTCGTTCTGTAATGGACTGAAAATTCACAACAAGGAATAGTTTACAGACCGAATCTCATAAGAATATCTATATTTTTAGACAGAATCTACTGGTGTTTTGGGTTTAACACCTTTATCTGTAATATCTTTTCCTAATTATCAACGTAAAGTATATATTACAATGGACATGTTGTATTAAGTGGCGAGTGAATAATCCTTTTATTTCAATTTTTTTCGACTAAAACGATATGATATGAAGAGAAATGCCTCACTCATTCTTTCTCAATAATAACGGTGAATTAGAAAAAGCAAAATTAGACTGCTTTCATTCGATTTATTATTGGCCACAATTTTCCTGCTCTTCACTTGCTTGTATCACGCAATCTCATTTGTACTTCTACGTTTTGCACATTTGCATATTTTCATTTCTCATTCGTCGGCTTTCTTGGCTATGTCTCTCAGAAAATCACCAGAAGCTCACATTGTTGTAGTAATTAGTCACACGTTGCTAAAAATCGTTCTTAAAAATAATTAGTTTTGATCACTGCATTCTTTTGCGTTTACAGTACAAATTATTTCCTATTTTGTTTTGTGATTCTTTGCAACTTTTTTTCATTTAGGTATATATGGAAAAACATTCTCCGCTGACTTTTCCACCTTTTCTCACACTCTTTATCGTTTTTTACACGTTTCTTTAGTAACTCTCATGCAAAGATTTTCATTTCAGTAATCTGTACTTCGATACTTTCTACGCACGCATATCGCCAATTATTTTCTTGGTGTTTAAAGGTCAAGAGAAAAATTGTTGGAAAAGTTAAAAGTTTGAACTACTTAGGCTTTATTATTGCGGTCACATTCTTTCCACACTCTGCTATGACAGAAGTTGAAATCAAAACCACTGCTATTCCTGAAGAGGTACGTGTATGTTATAAATCTTGCCACTGATCGGCTCTGTCATTTTTTGTGCAGGAGTGAATCCCTTACAATTATCATTAATTTTAGCAAAGCGACTACTAAATTCTTTCTTGTCTCTGTATTTATTTTCAATTATCATTATTTCTGTTGAATTAAACTAAATTTTGGTACAATCTCTTGCTTCATCGCAGTGCAGTGCGACCGTTTTTCCATTAACAGAAATTTTTTAAAATTTACATGGCAGTGTCTTCATTTTTGATGAGAATTGATTTATTTTATATTTTGGCAGGTTAAAGGTCAAAGCGTCATTCCATATTCATTAAAATATATAACAAATGTAATTAGAATTTTATCCTCACAGGTTTTTTGAAGCTTAAGTGTTTATTGTCGTGTTACAGACTTGTAATCCACCAGCTGCAGATAATTCACCAGCAGCGCTTAGTTCAGATGATGATATACCAGCTGTAGATGCTAATGTGAAGGATTTGGAAAGTCCCCTAGACGTAAAAAAGGTTGGAGTTCAAGAAGAAACCCGAAAGGCGCAGAAGGACCCGAAAGATGACCCGGTGGGTTGGGTTAGTTCGCTGATTCCTGGAGCTGGTCACAAGGTAATAAATTCATTTCCATCTGAAATAGATTCTAGTTAGATGCGTGAAAGTTAAGTTTATGAAAAGATCGAAAAAATGAAAATGTCTGCGAATTGTTAAAACAGTTAATCTTGTAACTTGTGTAAAGAAGTTTAGTGCAGTTTCAAAACGTCTTGATCTCATGGATGTATCAAAACACGATTTGATAAAAGTGGTGAATGTATTTAGGAATGGAGTTACAAGCTCTTCATCGTCTGCACGTGCATTGTATGATTATCATTAATATCTTATATATTTGGAGTTGAATTTTGAGCTGTTTGGATGGATGTGAGAATTGCAGGTTAATTACCAACTTCTAAATTGGGCCCAGCAGTTAGCTGTTGGGGATGAAAAGCGACAAGGATTGCCTGGTAAGAATAACGCGGTTACTAAGAAGCAGTTTTTATCATTCCTTCGAGATGGAACACTTTTAGCCAAGTTAGCTAATGTTCTCGAGCCAGGTACAGTCGAGACTGTATATGAGGGTGACGCTGCCAAGGATAAGGTGAACCAGGAGTCCAATATAAAAGCCTTTATCTCGTTTGCCAAAGATAAAGCCGGTCTCTCAGATGATCAGGTATGTTATATCTACTGGTTAAATGCTATAGCAAGATTGGCAGACTGCCCTAAATTAACCAGGTTAATCGATGTATTTGCTAATTTGTTAACTTTGTATTATTTGCGAGGAGTAGATTACTTTAAAGATGCAGAAGAAAGATGATCTGTTGAGTATGAGTGATGCTTGCCTAATTTGCATTGCATCTGTTCGTCATTGGAGTTTTCTTCATAGCAAACAAAGCAAAGAATTACTGCATATTTGCGATGCAATAAGATAGATCAATGACTAACGATTCTGTCTCCATTTTGTCGTCAAATGTGATTTTTGATGTTTCTCACTATTATCATCACTTCGTTAATAGACTGAATGGCTGAATGAATGACTTACTGATTGATTCGCTGGTAGTAAATAATTATTTGTTTGTATAAGAAGTGTTCTTGTTGAGTCTAAGATTTGAGAATGAGGTGGATGTGTTGCGACGTAGATGAAATAGTAAATTTTGATTGCAGCAACTGTAACAACTTCTCCACATTTCATCTCAATCTTAAATTCAGCAATTCGTGCAGCATTTAATAAACGAATGTTTTCAAATCGTTGCCTCTGCTACCAACGAAAACCGCTTAGATAGCTAGTAGTAGTGGATGGGTCCATGTAGAACTTCTGTTTGTGATAACATTTTTTGCACTGATTGACTGGAACACAAACAGCTCTATACAAACTTTTAAACGAGAGAGTAATATCTTGCGTCCAAAATTTTTTCAGGTGGACAGTTTAGAAGTTACAATTTTATAGAACAGCGATGGCTCAAAAGTTCAACATTTTGCAGAGGTCACTAATAGAAAGTTTTCACTGAGATGACTAATGACTAATTTAGAAAAAATATAGGAAATATGCTTTTGAATTGGTCATTGTTTGCTCATTTTGTTAATGAAAATTTTTGCAGTGAAAACATGCACAATTGATTATTAATTCAGTTTCTCTTTCTTTAGCTTTACTTTAACTTTACTTCAACTTGATATTCTTCTAGCAAAGTCTTTGCTAGCAAGACGGATTTTTAAAATGATAGGGTTGAAAGACAAGTTGTACATCTTAACGGGTTGTTGCATTTCGCAGTTCAAATCAGACACTTTCGTTATCAGTAAGCTTGCTGTACAGAGATGGCAATTTGGTTCTGAACTGTCAAAAAATTAAATGCTATAAAGTGAAATGTATAATGCCTTAGCGCAAGTAATTAACATGTAGCAGAGGGAAAGAAAGAGAAACTGAATTAATAATCAATTGTGCATGTTTTTTTTCTGGAAAATTTTCAGCAACAACAAATTTAGATAGACTGAGTAGATAGGAAATAAATCTTATTAGTGCCATTCTACATTCTGGCAATATTCTGGCTTTGTTTAGCAGATAGCAATCATTTTCTGCTCATTAGTAAGTGTTCTATTTTTAGGCTGAAAATTGGGGACCAAAGAGGCTTGTGTTGCTTGTAACTTATGATTACATTTATTATGCATACTGCTGACTCACTCGAGTTGGCCGAACAAACATTATTTCCTTTAGCCAAGAAGGTCATAGACATTGATCCTCGTTGAAAATTATTTTTGGCCATGAAGCTGGCAATTTATTCGTGGAGGAAGAGCTCTGACTGGCACGCTATATCCTAGATTAAAGCCACCGATGATTACTATGACTGGAAAAATAGATTAAATTCTTTCTGCTTCACTGATGACATAACTAAAATAGTCCGTCACTCAAAAGCATTGGAGTAATAGTAGGACATAGATGCATATTTTGGCTGACTAATTATGCGGACAGAAATTTTCTCTAGTCAGAAGAGCTGACCTCTTCTTCTGGAAGTTTTTTCATTAAATTAAAATGTGAATTGTTTTCTTTTCCCTCAGTAGTACTATTAGAGATCATCTTTTTCTGTATGCAGAAATAAAACATTCAAGTGATGACTAATGCATTGGAATTTAGCATTGAACATTTGTAATCGAAAGATATTTTGCAGGTATTTACAGTAGCAGATCTTCAAGACCGAGGTAAAACAGGGTATAATGCAGTTTTCAATACACTTATGCAACTGGGCCTTAAGACAAAGACTACATTTGGACAGAAGGTAATTACTTGGCAAAGTTCTGAGTTCATGGGACATAATGGCCAAATTTATTATCTGTTCTTAATTATTTATTTTTCGAAGTATCTGTAATAGGAAGTTTAGGGAATTGAAATGGAGCAACTTGTCCAGCAAGCTTCACAAGTTGTGCAGACTAATCTTATCCAGACAATTTTGGGTTTCTTCAGAAGAGCACGACCAACTCAGGTTCACTTTTTACAATAAGTTTTTGTACACTGTTTTTGGCATTCAATCAAGTAGCTGCGATTCGAATTCTTATTGTTATTGATTCCATATCATTGAAAAATATGGAATTGTTGAAAGTCAGTTTAACTTTCGTTTATTTTCTTCAGACTCCGAAAAAGCTGGCAAAAGAAGCGGAAGAAAAAGAAAAAGTTGCTGCCGCTGTAGAAAAGGTCCATTTTAAATAATTTTTTGTGCATGCACCACAGTTGATAAATTTTATATATTTCTTTTTGTTCAAAATTGTAATATGTGTTTTGGTTGTATTTTGAGATGAGTAAGAGTGAACCATTACTTATTTTATTTATACGTTAACAGAATAAATTACATTTGTCATCTGTCGTCCATTACTTTAGAGTATAGATGAGTTTTACGTGCTCATTTCTATTTTCTATATTGTACCTTTACTTGCTTTTTATATTTTTATCTTCGTATATGCTTTTTTTTATTTCTTAGGTAACTGAAGAGAAAGAGGAAGAAGTATGCAAAAAAGTTGATACTCAAATGGAAATGCCAGCTGTTGCTGCCCATTGATTATTATAATTATTAACAATATGATTACTATGATTTCGTTACCATTATTATATTATCATTATCATCTCTCAGTTCATTTATTTACTTCGCACCCACAACATTTTCTCTCCAAAATATTTCGCGGTACAACTGCAGCAACTTTTATCACTAATAGTTATATAACTGCAACAACTTTTGTCATTGTTTTGTAAGTTTTTACTCATTTCAAGGCTTTTAACTTTTTTAATTATACTTTACATCAGTTAAGATTGTTATTTATCCTTTATCTGAAATATTATTTATCACTCTGTAAAATTACTTTTGTTCTCTTTATGCAAATTTATTCAATTGCTTCTGCAGTATCTTGTGGTGATAATTGGAAGCTTGATAGTAAGGGACAACTGAGTAATGTTAGAGGCTAAGATGATGAAGTCTAGAAATAATTCGTAAATTTCTTGAAATAAATTATTGAGAACGTTACCGGAATTTACTAATTTTGTCTTTGAGTAGATTTTGGTTCTTTTTTGTTCGTAAAGAACTTATGAGTTTGGAGAGTTAATAGAGTTTACAGGAAAACGCTTCAGTATAATTTTTGGATATCGGTTAATTTTTCGTGTACTTGTGTCTGTACTGCGTTTTTTTCAGGTTCCATCTCGCAAATCAATTTTATTAATGATCTTACAAGGAATGGTTTGGTCACAATCACTCAATCAGCTTTCCTTCTCAGTTAAACTAATCAACTTCAAGCACTCTTTCTACATTTTTATTTATTATTATTATTATTCGGGAAATCAAATTCACCTGTTAGCATGAAATCATGTTCTGTGGTGGTTTTGGTTATGTGCTGCATAACTAATCGTTTTTGTTCCGTTTTCTATAATTCTTGATACGTTATTCATTTTTGCATTTGTATGCAATGGCTGAGTAGAAAAGTACAAATTCTTGAAATAAGAAGAAATAGAATTATTTTACAAAATAATTTATTTCCAAAAAATGAGCTGTTTACTTTTGGAAATGGCACAGAATCTATTGAATTCTTGGCTTTTTACTGTGAACTGTGATTCAGACTTACCGAATATTGTTACGATTGTCATTCTATCATATCTGCACGATATATTCCAATAGTGGATAACTCCTTTTGCTTTAATTAATAATGAGCTTAAGATGACTTGTCATGTTTTTCTGCTCATTAAACATTCCAAGATAATTGGACTTCAATGTGCTACAAATACAAACGCTAATATAAAGGCCATCAAAGATGGATCTAGAACAAATTTAGAGTGTATTAACTTACCGCTTCTTGCTGCCACTTGTAGTTTCGTCCACTAAGATTTCTAAGTAAAATCTTCAGGAGTAGATCAATTAAGCTTTTACAGAGATAGTTATGTCTGCCACATTACAACGTACAGCGGTTTCCTCTCTGTTTCCTCCGAGTTATCAAAGAAACCGCTGAACTGAATAATTGCAATGGCTGAGCGAAAGTAAGTTTGTACTTGTACATAACGATTGTAATCAAATCAGTTCGGCGTACCAATCCGATCTGATTTGCCTTAAGCAGTTGAGTCTTGGGCAATAACATCTTAAAAAATAAGGGACATAGTGTAGAGTGAATATAAGTTTATTACAAGTTCTATATGAACGGTTGGTCGTGTACGATTTTATAGCAAGTTTTATCACTGCTTCATCTCAGTGTAGACGATCTTTTTCTTCTCTCATTGTGATTGTCAAAGGTCACACGATCTAGCTTAATCAATGCTTTTTGAAATCTAAGTCAGCGAACATTTAAGCAAATGGGCGCTAGAGTGTTGTTCCCTGGCCACTTGACGGAGCAAAAACAAACTTTCAAGTGTGAATTGACTTTCATATCCTCTTCCATTGCTACTATTTCTGTATTTATTCAAGTAATGAGGATATTTGTCAGTCTTCTTTGAGACCTAGATCAAATCAGTAAGTCATCCGTGCTTCAAGGAGTCATTTATGCCATTCATACATATAGAATTCTGATGACTGTAAAAACAGTTTGTAATATATGATAGTGTCATCAGGAGAATCATCTTAATTGGAAAATAATGACGATGTACAATGGCATCATCAGCAAAGTCTGAGACAAATTTTCATTCGTTTGTAATGCAGTTTACGCTGAAAAGTTACAGAATTATTTTTTACCTCAAGTTGATTATTCTTATTTGCCGCCTATGGTGAAATGCAGTTCATCCAATAAAGTTGCGTCTAAATCCCGAGATCGAGTAGTAATTAATAACAACGACAATTAGCGTAAACTGCACTACTTGTAGTCAATAAAACAAAAGGTGCGTGTGAACCAAAGAATAGTACTAAAATGAGACAACGATTTCATTGCTTGTCAAATGGCAGTGTCATAGTGGCACTGAATGGTCTCAAAGCCTAAATTGCTTGAAAATATCCCGTTCGATGTTGTGAAAGTATTGTTTACGGTGAACTGAACATCTTGTAAGTGAGCAGTTATTAATTTGAATGTTTCAGTAGTCTGATGATTTTATTGATTATTACATATAGTCCAAGAGGTGAGTTTATTCCATGCAAGAGGCAGTGCGATGGCGCGCATTCGAGTTGCTAAAGTTGGTCGCAAATCTTTTAATAGCCGCAGAGGTAAATATTTGATGAGGACTTATCCTAGCTTTTGTGATTGTTATCATTTCTGTTTGCAAAAACGGAGCTCAATTATATCATATGAAGAATTTTTAGCTGAAGCAAAAAGGCACTTAGTGCGCATGAGTATTGAAAAGTGAGATATGGAAAGTGTAAAAAATAGAATTGGGCAGTGACTGTTGATTTAATTCCAATGTGTAATTATTTATTAAAATATGAGCTTCGAAGTATGTGGAAAAACACAGGTGGGACCTAATGAGGCAATAGAAATAATAAAAGATTTTTACAGCTTTGGCTGACTTAATTACTGAATTTTTGGAAATCATCTCTCACACAATATTATTTAATTTTGGTGGCTATCCAGCAGAGACATTCAGTACGACTAGCTATCAGTCCATACTAATTCATGTAAGTGATGCCGAATCAATCATTGGTCACTTATCTTGCTGCCATTCCTATAAGATCTAGGGATGAGCTCATTACTAAATATTTCCTGTTCTCCCGAGAGTATATGTCGTGATTCGTAAATTTTTAGAGGTGCAAAGTAAAAGAGATAACAGATTATGTTGATGCTACTTTGCGAACGGTTCATCGATGGATTAAGTGCCGTAAACTGTGCTATTTTGCTGCTTGTATTATTGACAAGGATGATAACATAGTGCTAGAAGCCATGATAAATATCATAGATGTACACCACCCACATCTCACATCTCAGTAATTTGTCTTTCAGCATTCTACTTAAGTATAAAGTAATGACAATTGAAATGATATGAAAGTCGCTCGGAGGAAAATTGGCTTAATTTTCACCTTTGTACATTTCAGTAAATTATTTGAACAAGATGCTGTAGATTTGAAACGCCAGTTCCAGCAGACAATTTTTATGTTACAAAGAGAAGCGTACATTGAGAACTTGGAATGTGATTCTCTTAACAAAGGTGTATATTCCATCTTTAACAGTTTTGCTAATTAAATTGCAACTCACTATTTAACGTCACTAGCACTCATTTTAGAAGTACGCTTCGAAATACGCACGAAATTAAGAAACGATTTTAGCATCATACTTCAGAAGCAGACAGAGGTATGTGGAAATGTGATTATAGTAATTATATATTTACCTTCTTCTTTTCTCTTATTTCAGAAATTTAAATGGGAGAAGTGTGATCAACGTAATCCATCTGACCTCCGACCATGTGGCAATCGAATTGACAACAAATTGATTGAGGTATGAGATAAATTATTAAACTGTAAATGTTATCGGCACTAATCTGTAAGCTCGATTTCCATTCTTTCAAACTATCTTTTCCTTATTGCACTCAAGATTACTTTTGAAGATTGTTGCCACGTTACGAAAAGGGCGTGAAGCACATGCATCCGAGTTCATGAACTAGGAAATATACAGAATTTGGTTGCCGTGAATCAAGATTTGAAAACTTTAAAAATTGTTTACGTTTGTAAATCGCGTAGAAAATATCGCCTGCATTGCAAATATCATGTCTACGATTTGGTGGAGGCATTTTATGGAATGCATTATTACTAGCGATTTTGTGTATTGAGAGAACATATATACACGGTAATGGTTTTGAAAGTGATAGAACTGAAGCCTCATTCTGTTGTCGGATGCATTGCTGATGATTAATCTTGATGATATATACAACAGACTCATCTTTATTATTTTTAATGGAACTTTCAGGGGGTGCGAAAACTAAAAAATAGTGCAGATAAAGAGATAGATAAGGTAGATAAACAAACCATCATTAGTTTAAATATAAAAGCATTATTTATGAAAAAATTACAGAAATTATAGCTTCACAGCTTTTAAAACAACTATTTGAACATGGATAGAAGATTGGTATATTGAGAATGGATAAATTGAATTGAATGTTTACAGATAGGCGAGAGATAGGAAGCAGGGCAAAATCAGTATGGGCTATGTAAATGTACGATGAAAGTAATCAATCAAATAAGTAATGAGTGGTGCATTCCATATGTTGACAATAACTTTACAAGACAGAAATGATATTCAAGAAAAGATGTAGTTCAAATAGGGATTACATATTACAGCTTATTGGCATGAACTTCGAACATCAATTCTCAAGACCAGATGCCAACTGCTCAGGGTTATTAATTAACTGCATGCTCAAAATAATGATTTTTAAGCAAGCTAAAAGATGTAGTCGATGGTGATTTTTGAAATAAACATATATTTCAAATCAATTTCTCGACTTTGCTTACTGCTCTAAAATCAAACAATTTCATCCAAACCTACTTCAATTATGAACAAGAGAGAGAATAAGTAACATTAAGAAAGAATGCCCAATAAGTGTCATTAGATGGTGTACCAACATGTGACAATTCTATTGTCATACTATGGGAGGGAATTATTTGCTATAAGGGACTTCTTTTTTAGAACCGTCATCACTATCAACTGCGAGAATCAAAAGCCGCATGTTCTTCTGACTGTTTAACAACACTAATATAAATATTATGACTTAATTGGAGTACTTGAAATAGTTATCTCAAGAGCAAACAAGAGAAGGAAACATAATATTTGGATATTTCACACATGTACAACATCGAGAATTCATCTGAAGAATTGCTGTTTCACTTTCACCGATGATTTCGGCTTCTTCAGACAAAACTATGGTTACATTTTGTCTTAGATTAATACTTCACAGCAACAATCGGCAGATAAATAATACGAATTTTCGACACATGGTGTGCAAAAATGACTCTTAAATTATCCGGACAAAATACCAACTAGCTGAATGAATACGACGCTTCAACTACCAACACAAAATTTACAAGACGAAAAAAAAAGCACGAGGATGTAGAAAGAAAGAAACCATCCTCTTTCCTATTTTGAGTTAGTATGCAAAATGGATTATAAATGTTGGCATTGTAATATAAACGATACAAAAATAAGATTAGCACAATTCTTTGCTTTTACATTTAAAAAGAAAAAAAAGTGTTCAAAAGAGAAGTAAACTAATAGGCTGCGAATTAACGAAAGAATCACAGCGATGAAATAAAAGCACTCAAAATATTAGTTGAAAAAATATACAATAGATGTAAGCAGCAGTTCAAAACTAAATTTGCTATAATATTAAACTTTGATGATTAGATAGCTAACCAGTTTACATTGAAGTCAAAAACAAAAAACTAGAATTCATAATATACATAGTTCTCCCCCCTTCCATCCTGACTCACGTTCATTTTATAAAAAAATTTAAACAGTTACAGAGTGATATGCTTCATTCTAAAATCGACTTTAGAAAACAACCTAAAGAGCACTAAACAATGAACAATGAGAAAAAACCACTTATCAGTAGTTAACATTGACTGTTGACCACTCTAACCGACGCACCTGTCGTCTTTTCATATCGACTGTATCGCAATCAAAACGAAAAGACTGTAGAACAGAAACTAAACTGTACCATATATACACAAATTACACTCTCCTGCTTCTCTTTCTTCTTATCTAAAATCCTCACACAATTCTTCCTTCATATAAACCACATAAGAAATCTTTTCTTTGGTGCAATTATTTTGGAAACAACTTCTCATCTGCTGTAATTACAAAACCATCCATGCAACAACTCAATTCACGTACTTCCCTTACCTCATAAAAAATCGAATGTGGCAGCGCAAGAATACAAAGTCTTACACTCACAAAACATGCCCCTATATTATTATGGCAGAACTAAATGTAATAACAATTTCTATCAAACATGGCACATTAGGCTCATTAACATAGTGAACTATCATTAATGGTAATTCTTCATAAGTACATGTCACAATGTTTCCGCAAAGATGGATATCAGATATTATGCGATTTCACACAATGTCTAATATCCATCTTTACGTAAAAACAATAAAAAACGCATAATGCATAAAAAACACACACACAAATACACAAGACACTAAGCACACACAAAGAAAAAATACAAACTTTTACAGTAGGAAGCAGTTCGTATGAGATCAATGATAACTGTATATGATAAATTTTGTATTGCAAGGTCTCAAAATAGATTACAGTCACGAAACTATAAACTTGCACAGTGTTGGAAGCACTGGTTTCAGAATTTAAATACTATTAAATTTAAGTACGGACAGTAAACGCACACGTATAAAAAGTAGCTTGATGTAATGAGAAAGAGTAAACCAAGATATACATCACATTATCTGAGGTAACATTAATTACTGCAAAACATTAGTGTGCATTCACATCGCGTTAATACCATCGCAACTAACAGTAGCTAATCGCCAAACACTTTACAATAAATCAAATAAGTAAAAAAAACTATCCAAGTATATACTTCGTAAAAATAAGAAATAAAGAAAAGACACATGCGAATATCGTATTACAAATGAAATTAATGTAGTCACTCTCTTTCTCTCTAAACATAGATGTAGCAAGAAGTGATAATATGAATACATTACTGAATTTACAATTAAAATGAGGTACCCGAATAGCACAACTTCGGAAAATAATTAAACATATACTATGTATACAAGAGAAGCACCTATAATTATTTGAGCTATTGACAATTATTATTATCTTCATCCTTCCATTCCCACGTTTAATTAATAAATAAAAACAAAAAATAAAAAATTTATGAAGGTGCGTAGCTAACAACAAATATTGATATTTGCATATAACAAAGCATTAACTTACATGGTTTGGTTCTTGATTTACTATTCACATACTTTTTTGATGTATTATTTACATTCTATTCAAAATTTGGAAACAAATGAAATATAAAGAATCAGTTCTCCAAATTCTTGAAACTCAAGTTCACCATATACAATATCTATTAAGTCCAGAACTTGACATAAGTTAGCCAAAGCTTTAAACAAAAAAATTAAATTCCAGAAAAAATAAAGGGTTTGCTCAATCTCTCTTGATCATACTCTCTACAGTTACTGAAACCACTGAATAAAATTAAGGTTGTAATGTTATAAAACAAAAGCAGATCAACTGAGACGACGAGCAGGACGAGCAGAGGGTACAGAGATAATTATTGAAAAAATTTTTGTGGCACTGTTAAATTGATATTATGGTTAGATAAAGATGCAGCGCTTTGCTTAATACATCAAAACAAGTCATGGAAGAACTTAAAAATAAAAATATTGAAATGAAGTTATGTACATGTAAGACTTGACGAATAAGGAATTATGAAAAAATCTAGGACTGCAAAAATTTTAATAGCAGTGCAGCTTTAGCAATGCATTTTTTTTTTGGCGGAACGAAAAGCAATGTCACTGGTAGAGACTATATAAAGCATTACAAATAAACACATAACTAATAAAATTGCTTGCTTATGAAAGCACATACTTTTCTGAAGTATTATTTAATACTGAAATCAATACCCCTAATAAAACTAAACAATTAGTTCTGAATTACTTTAATTATTTAGCAATCCACTTAAGAACTCGAAAGAGGAGCAACGAAGTTTAACGACGGTAAATTTATTGGTGGACTGCACATATTCCATTTTGATAACAATTCACTATCCCCATCGTCATCAAGTATTTCACAATTTTTATCAAGTTTTTTGATGATATCAGAAATTGAAGTCACTTCATCACCTGTAATTACTTTTAAAAACATCTTAAGATTGTACTCTACAACTACAATTTCAGAGCTAAAAAAAATTTCAAGATAGGCATTGCATTTACCGCAAGAAGTAGTGGTGGAATTTAAGTCAGAACACGAAGATGAAGACTTCTCTTCACACCACACAAAAGGAGGCATTGGAAGGAACTTTGCTTGAGGTGATTCACTAAATTTAGCACCAGCAAAACCATCGCGATCCATTTGGTGCAGTTGACGTCGAGTCCGCCACCGTGTCCCTTTAAATTTATTTCATTCTGCAAGTAATGTGGAACACAAAAAAAATTCTTATGTATTCTGGCAGTCAATTTCTTGACTGCAACGAAAACTTGGAAGGCCCTTCAAACATGATATGGAGACTAACTACATCTTTCATCCAACTCATCACTTACAGACATGCTAGTCTGATCCTGAAAACTGCAATGAATGACTAAAAAAGAAAACTGCTCCCTACTTGTCTTTTTTTCCGGAGTTACATCAAGAGAAAACGATGACTGTTTTTGTTTCATATTTTTGATTGGCGAAGTCTTCCTCGAACAGGGTTGAGAATAAAAACTGCAGCCAGGCACTGAATTATTCAATGATTTGCACAAGTCGTCGTCTCTCATGCACTTTAAAGCATTGTTCACTTTTACATTCCCAGTAGTCTGTATAGAATTTTCAAAAGCTGCTGTAGGTATCGAGGTAGCACCACTAATTTCAGTCATTACAGAAGATGTTGCTTGATCAAAACTTTCGGAATTTGTAGAAACGGTAGGAATTAATGCGATATTATTAAAGGCTCTAGATAGAACAGTTGCTGTTTGTGCAGAATTGTTTGAATTTTTAGAAATTACAGGAACCAATACAGTATCAATTCCTGCAACTGCATAAGTTGCCGCATGTATAGATATTTCAGAATTTGCATTGGTTGACGGTACCAAATCGATATTATCAATTCCTGCAGAAACATAAGTTGACGCCTGTACAGAATTTCTGGCAATTACATTGACTAATGCTGGTGCTGGCGGTCCTGATGAGCGTGAACTATAACTTGACTTGTGCTTTGAGTAAAATTTTTTCCAAATTACATCTGGAACAAACAGAGATGAGACCATTCTCGTTCCTTTTGTATAACTGTAGAAGTATTGTGGTCTCTGCAAAAAAACCACTATGTTAATGTAATGATAAGGTTAGGCTGAGCATAATCCTACATAATTTAAAAAGATATAGAGCCCTTTTAATTTCAGTGATTTCATGCATTTGAAACATATTATAGATGTAACAAGAAATATAAATTAGACCACAAAATCAGTGAAACGTTTCGCATCACTGCAGTGTTCTGAAGAGCTGACATTTTGAGTTGCTCGTGTTACCGGACTCTTTTGAAATGTCACAGAAACTTCTGGTCTTGTAGAAAACATTCTCTTTACTGAAATGACAAAAAGGAAAAGTTTAATCAGAAAATTGGAGGAATCAACAAAATTTCAGAGGAATGATAGCAAAATAAAAGTACTACAAGACTGAATACTTCGACAAAAAATAAATAACTCAAAAAAACTAAGTGATTACAAACTACTTACGCTGCAAACAACATTCAAGAAGCGTTAAGAACTTCTCACTGAAACAAAAATAATCAGTGTGAATGACTGTACAAATTCTATCAGAAATAGTATTTAAAATAATGGTACTAATCGCCTTTCAATCTGTAAAAGAATGAAGTTTTGTGAGAGGAAGAGATAGAACAAATTCAACTCGAGCGATCCCTCTGTCCGAAACATGTGCTCAACTTATCTGTGACTTTTCAAATTTCAAATCTTTTCAGTTATGAACAATGAAATGCGACTTGCTTCCTTCATGAGGTGTTATGGAATGGAAAGTTTACACTATAAACTGACAATTTATAGTTTATACGATAGTTATACGATAAACTATAAATTGTCAATACCACAAGCATAGAAGAATTTCAAAACTATCACACACAAATCAGAAAGTCAAGAGGGTCACGGCCCCCTTACGGTGTTTGTTAGGTACATCAACACCCGATAATCACTATTATTCATTGATTTCTATTGGTTCGGAGTGTATGCTTTCCAGCCATTGTTTAAACGACGTATTTCTGAGCAACCAAATCCGTATTACTGTATTTACACCTTTAAATGATGTTTATCCCTGCTTACCACAACCTACCATACTCTTCTTTCTCTTAAAATATAATAGAAAGCAATTATGAAGAGAACTTCTAAAAAAGAAATGTAATACAGTCAGCAAGATACTGTGAAAGTAGAGGAGCAAAACTACTGTAAACTATTTTCATTCAACTCTTCGGCAGCTTCAAGCATAGAAGAATTCCATCAAGAGCAATCTAGCTTGGAACCTAAAAGACTCCTGATGATAACTCATTCTCTGAATACCCTATTATAAGATCGGATGCCTCTTAAAAAGCAAAGACAAGAAATCTCACATGGTACACAAGTCAACATTTTAGTTCATAAATCATTCTGTAATACCAGAGTGCGCTCAGAACGCAGAATACAACTCAATAACGTTGTAAATAAAACGAAAGAAGCGCTGACACGCACACACACACAAAGAGCATGCAAACTGGTCCCTTTATCGATTTGTTGGGAATTCGACTCACTCTCGTCAACTCCGCCTACTATGTGCCACTCTTCGATTCCACTCATCTGACATGAACCCAATTCCATCGTGAAATAAGACTTGGGACTATCACAGCATTTCCACTTATTGATTCGCCTTCCAGTGATGAATTTTGTTTTCAGCTTCATGAAAATGGAAAAATCTTTCCTAATGACGTAACTATTCATACGTATGCTCGCCTAAAATGACAAGTGTATCAGTGTTGTCAGTTCCCACAATGCACATATTTGTGAGTCACTCGAAAGTCGCTTTCCAAGTAAATGATGGAAGACCAGAAAGCGAATGATTCGTTTGATGAATGAGAATGAGGGGATGATTACTTTGCCGGCAGTCAGACTACATTTGTAAGTGAGGGATTGTTTTAACAAACCGTTTTCCAAACACACATTGTCGCCACTATCATCATACTGTAACACAATTACTGCCGAATTAGTGTTGCTACTACTATGATCATCATTATTCCAGCGATTAAAATATGCCTGTTCCAGCAGTCTCCATTACGAACAGAAGGAAATGATTGAAATTAAATTGTCTTGGCACAAAAGTCCTGATTTCAGAATTTCCTATCAATTTGGTGGCGCGTGCAAAGCATATCCTTTGTCAGTTATAGTAAAAAAGGACTTTCACTTTTCAAACTTATACTTCTCTTAGTTAAAAGGCAGAAGCATGATAATTTCAGATGACTTTGAAGTCAATCAATCAGTCGTCGTTCCATTCAAGACTACTCAGTAGAAATCAAGTTCTTTTATCATGAACCTGCTACGCACTACACTTTTTGCACAAACTTGCTAGCAGGCTTTTTCTAAAAATCACACTGCCTGCTTCAGTGAGAGGCGATCTCAGCAATTCAGTTCGGTCCTCCTCAAAGAACCGACTTTCATCTCCTCCCCTCCTCTCCTCTCCCCTCCCCTCCTCTTCCATTTACATTGCTGACTGTTCTCTTCTGCTCAGTTACTTTTCTCACTTTTTATCGCCGTTTACTACATTACTTGAGCCTCAAAAAGAAAAAATCACACACTTCGAAACAGCCACTTCTGGAAATATTTTTCTCAATAAATCGTTTGCTTTAGGATCAATGTGATGGAAAGTTTCTACAATTCAAACAACAGACGAGACTTTTATCTCGCTTCTGCCGCTTACCGTATCTCACTGCTGCGAGAAAGACAAAATTAAAAGTGATAAACAATAAAATCAGCAAGCTACGAATCAAAAAAATCCACTTTTGCGACCGACTTTGTGGAATAGTCGTTGGAAAATAAAAAAGTTAAACTGAATACAGACGCTGGTAAAATCGTTTCCATCAGATAAGTTGGTTGTCTAATTCTCCAAAGAACTTGCTTTTCATCACTTTTTTCCAGTTCAGCAGCACTTTTACAGTGGTCAAAGTCATTTGATTTGTTATCAATTAGCAATAAATGATAGCAAGTGCTGATGCAGAATATTATGAAAACAATGCCATCCATTTCATTCAGCATGCAATCAAAGAATAATATATGGAAACGGTATGTTTCCACATTGGTACTCTCTTCAATAATAAAAGCAGAGCTCAACTGCCCAAAATTAATCAATGTTGCACTCATGTGAACTTAGGAGAAGGATAGGAAATGTGTAGGAGAAAGGAAGGTAATACGCGATCGATCAATCGATAGGCACTAATCACCATACTGACCTGACAGCATTCGTATATGCTTAATCGATTCGACATTACTATGAAAACAATGCCATCCATTTCATTCAGCATGCAGCCGAAGAATAATATATGGAAACGGTATGTTTCCACATTAGTACCATGGTTTATACTTAAGTACACGTAGTACGAACTTACCTCCACTTCTTTCATTTCTGAACCGTACTGATTGGTACTACGAGAATCTCGGGTAAGCGAATGGATAATTCATTACGATATTAAAAAGCTATTAAAATGATGCCTGGCTGATGATGGGAAGCAATGATGAGCATGGAATGACTATACAGTTTTCCAAATTAATAATGGTGCAGAAATTGTACACTTTGAGAATAAAATCTAAGAATTGAACAAAGTAATAAAAATTTTTCTCACATTCATTGAGGGACCTTTTATAAAAAGCACATCATAAATTACAGGTACCATAACTTGATGCTATACAAAATATCATACTGCTATAATTCCTGCAGTAATTAACCCTACCAACCAACTACCATATACATATATATATATATTTACACATATTAATAATCCCACTTATTATTCAGTTAAAATGTACTTTTATCACTTATCACTTATCAATCAACTAGCACCAGAACTGCGTTCATTCCGAGGAGAATGCTTTGTGTCACACACATTTCTCAAAAAGACCATAGCATTTTCGGTCTCTTCCTTTGCATATATTTTATAAACGCTCAATATGACTGCACAGCAATAATTAATGCTAAAATAGTATTTGTAGTTCTATCTTAACAACCATTAACTATTCAAATATATTTATAAAAGTACAAAAATATACAAATGTAGTGTATTTAGAATATAAGGGTCTATTAAAAATGGGAGTTGGTGCAAAAACCAAATGTAATGGTGCGTCTGAAATTTGTAACATGATATCAAGACCCAATAAAAATCTGCATAGTTCACATATAACTAAGGATGGGGATAAATTTTATGGATAACCTGTCCATTTACTAAAATGTGTGCCTACAGTTCTCCTGTACTTCTCTTTTTGTTCACAACACTGTGAAACTTATGTTTGCTTACAAATATGGAGTCAAATTCGTGAATATCTGAAAGTGATCATATTCTAGTGAAATGTCATTCATCACTTTGCACTGGTGAAAAAGTAGACTAAGTGTAATTTTTTTCGGCTCAAATTACCCAATATGATGAGAGTTCTTTGCTTCAGTGTGCTGTGCGCATCCAAAATGTCCCAATTCTTTCATAAAATAATCGGCTATTCGATTTCATTATGTTTGTTACCTTTATATGGTAATCTCAGCGATTTCATACCACACTTTGTGATATCAAGAGATACCAAAGAAAAAGTAATTAAGCATTATTGGAGGTTAAGGGTGAGAATAAATGCTTAGTTAGGAGTGAGTGTGAGTATGAAGAGAGACCAAACGTTGGAGTATAGCAATTGATCAAATTGCAGTATGCCCGCAAGATTGCAACCATAACAGTTCTTATTAGGGAGTAAGCTTGTAATATGTGTGGTTTATTGCAATGGAGCAGGAAAGTGCATTGGTTCTGCAACGTTTTACACTTTTCCATAGATTTCATTAATCTATCACGTATACAATTCATTTATTATTAAAATTTTTTAATCATACTTAGAAATCACAATTTGGTGGAAACAATCTCTCCAGATAACATATTAGGAAGAGTTTCCAGGAAAAGCTGAGATAAACAAGACACGAGCGAGATAAGAAATACATTTTCGGTGGTTGAGTGGAAGAAATCTGAGAGAAAACATTTACTTACACAACAAACGGCAGATATAAGATGGTAAACATTGTAGAGACATAGTAATTGTAATATAAAGTATGCAAAGGAAAACTAACTCGTTCTAATAATAGAATAGTTCACTTTTTGAAATACTTACAAAGCGAAATTCCAGTGAACGAAAAACAAAGATTTCCGTAAAATTCTTTAATGCGTTCAGAACAGGAATTAATCATTCACTTCATCATTCAAAATGCCATTCTTAAAAATCTAAACAAGGGTTTGAATGTGGGAAGAAACAGAAAAATGAAACTTACACATGAAAATACCAAGAACTATTATAAACAATAGAACATGATTCAAGAACACGTGCAACATAATTTTGAATTTGTCAGTAACGAGGGACAGTCTGGAGATGAACGGAACCTGAATGATTTCTTTCTTGGTAATACTTTAGCAAAAAAAAAAAATGAAATGTGCAAAACAGTGATACTGATTCTGAATTATACTAAATACTTCTCTTTTCAATCTATTATTTTGTTAACCTTAAACTATCAGTCATCGCTATTCCATTCATCTGTTCTTCCGATAATTTCACTCGCATGGGCAAAAACGCACATAAAATAAAATTGGGAATGATCGGCTGTTTGTAGAGATTATTTTTCTTTAGGCAGCAAACTTTAAATTAGGTCACGGATTAATTCATTCGCAACATTCATTAATTAAAGCGAATTACTATATATTTTAATTCTGATATGACATTATTTGCAGTTCTATACACACAAAAAGATTCAAGAATATGCGTAAATAGTTATTTGCAATTCGAGTTTTTTGATCAAATATACCAAAAATACCCAGAAATATTTTAACAACAAACTTCTTCCTTTCTTTTTGCATCGATTTATAGATTTCTGTACTGGATGGCGAATGAAATTTAGATAGATTTAGACAGTTCGAGGATATAACACGGATGGTAATTGTTATGAATGCAAATTTAGCAAACAGCAGAATTGTTAACTAAAGTGTAACACGCAGCATTCTCTAGTTCGAATAAGAAACTAGAAAAATCTAACTGAAATTATTACGATTATCAATTTTACAATTGAAATTGTCCTTTTTTAGAGACAACAAAATGCATTTTCGAAAAATGGGCGAATTAAATAACTTATATATAACGTTTGAAATAAAATTATTGAAGTATCAAAGAAAAATTATTAGCCTGTAGAGCTTCAGCGATATTATACACAATAATTATAGTTTAAGATGAAAACAAAAGTCAAGAGAAGGCACAGAAGATTCGGCATAGAAATCAGAAGGGAAGTCTATGCAAGTGCCATAGAGTAATAAAGCGTCGGTATTTCTCATAATAAGAAGAAATAACGATCAGAAATATCGATATCTCGTGAGATGTGGTAGCAAGTCATAAAGGTTGAAATCGTGAAAAGAAAAAATAGAAATGGATTATTCAAGCTCACAATAATGTAAAATAATTCGATGTGCTTGAGGAAAAGTTGCATTCACCAACAGAATTTAAATGTACTCCGCCAACTCGGTAGATGCTTGCTGCAATTAAAATAAAATGTTCAAATATCAGATTGGAACAGCGTTCAAAACAACTATGTGCAAACCAATGGTAAAAATAAATGCATTATCACTAAAAAATAATAATAACGGGATTTGCTACAAAATATCAAACTTTTAATATCCACAAAATCATAGTGAAGTGCAGTAATTAAATTTATTGAGAGCGAGAATTACACATTTTAAAAAATTGTTTACCGGTAGCGTGTATGAAACTTTCTGAACATTTTGCCTTCGTAGATCGGATTTGATCAAAGCTTAAAATATTAGCAATTAGTAAGCATCAGCGTCAAAACAGGGTGGTCACTGCGAAAACTTACTCTTCATCTATTTATTAATAAGGTCTGTCATTTGAAAATTAAATGTTATGAACAACAACTTACTACCTGTAAGCAATGTTCCAGCAACAAGAAATCCAGTAAAAGTCAAATTACTAGCAAAAGCACTAAAGTTTTGAAGGATGAAGCCACCAGTTAACGTAAGTACAATGCCTAATATCTGAAAAACGTATATTTAATACGAAAAATAGCAAAAATTCAAATAAATCAGTAGTGTCTGCAAACAAAATTGCGATAAAAATGAGAACGAAACATAATTAAACGTTTCAGAGATAAATTAGTGATGAAAAACTTGAGCTGAAGCGTTGAGAAGACCAGATGTAGTTCCTTCAGTTACTGGAAAAGTTAGCTCAACTGCAAATTCGAAACCAATTGGTAAATATCCTGTCATAAAAAACCTGTAATTAATTCCATTTTTCTCAAATAATCAACTCCAGTTTCGATCGTGCATGATCAGGGTAGCGGTAAAATCTTTCCTTTTATTATTTGTGATAAAATTTTACTCCAATAAATACTGATTGCTTATTTCCAAATGTTTGCATGATTAAATTTATAAATCATTATCAGTGCTAGAAAAATTTGTATTGAAATATTTCTAGATTTTATTTTAAACTTTATTTAAATGATTAATACTGCTGCACCTTCAAAAGCAATTTCCACTTCAAATCAAGTTAAAACAGACCCCAGAAATATAGCACTTGCATAAATACACCACATTTGTAGGAAATCGACCACAAAAGTAAACAGAAACATGCCTAATGTGCTAAACAGGTAAACACCAATAATAGTTAATCTGAAAAAGTAGATCGTTTTACCGTTTAAAAGTAATAAAAAATTATATTAACACATTTTTATGCATCTTTCGTTATCAAGAATAAGTTATTTATTAATTTTTTCCCAATTAAAACTGATATTTCTTGAAGGTGTTTAAAAATTTATGGCAAGATAAAGTACCTGATGATTTAACGAATTCTGGCTTACATTACAATCTTTCACGAAGAACTGAAGTCAAAATTTGAAAAAAATTTGAATTAAGAATTAATGCGAAATCAATTTACTTCACCAAAAATAAAACAAATTTTCTTAGACTTATTTTGATCCACAACTCAATCATCTTATTTCCTCAAAACATCTATCCATTAAATATAATAGATATCAAAGTCAAACCTGAACTGATGAAACCGATCTAAAATCATGCCACATATCACTGAACCAAACATTCCAGCTAAAACGAGCAGTAAACCAATTGTTCCTGAAATAAATGACTGTTTTCGAAGAAACCAAAATGGTCAAATTAATACATCACACTTTTCGATTAACTAACAGCTCAAACTCATAATATTTCGAAAATGTCTTGACTGCCATTAAGCATAAAGTTTAGATCTTAACATATAATTGATTCAGTAATTAATTATCAATCAAAATGTAAAAGATGAATTTGTAATATATGAAAGTGTATACCTGTGCTTTCTTGTTCATCTGGATGGAACATCAAAATCACTTGGCTTAGAAGAGTTGACACTGCATAAAAAACACCGGCATTGATACCTAAATGTAAATTCCAATTACTGTTCAAATGAAATTTTCATTTATAATGAAAATAAAGAATTTTTTTGAAATCTTTCAATTTCTGTAAATCTAAAAAACTTATACTGTGATGCAATGCTATTTCGAGATGTTAAATTTCACTAATTTCAAACTGGTGCAACGAACCAACCATAGGTAATGAAGAGAAGAATAAAGTTTGAATTTTTCAACAGCTGCTTAAGAGATTGAAAATAATGAGTTTCTTTAGTATCTTCAAGAACTTGCAGTTGAGCCAAACTCGGTGGTAAAAGTGGCTTCTGCGGGAACGCTATAAAAAAATAAAAATTTCCCTTTAAAATAGCTTTGGAAAAAGTGAAATTAAAATAATCAAAATATAAAGCGTTAATTATATGACCTCCAGAAACCGCAAAGTCACTTTCTCAAATTCCCTTATTACTGCTGTGGTTATTACCACTACTATTACTTTTATAATTATTTTAAATTGCACTATTACCATATCATAGTATTGTTGGCACAATAACTACATAAGTATGTAATACTTTTATAATGTTCAGTATCATCGTCTATTTGATAGGGTGTAAAAATATCATTAAAAGAGAGATTAAAATAATACTAGACGTATTACATTTTGTAATAATTCCACAGTAGAAATTATATATACATGCTTATTTGATTTTGCAGTCAAAAAATAGCAAATAAAAAAGCTAACAAAAAATTATCAGCAGAAAAATGATTGTATTTGCAATTACTGAAGTCAGGAATAATCGAGTCAAATCACTGGCGACGTCATCAGTAGTACCCATATGAACAATCATCGGTGGAAGCAAAAAACCAATGGCTATTCCTAACTGAAAATTACGGCTATCATTTGCAGAAGTGAGAAAAATTTTTTACTTAAAAATAATCAGTTTTCATTTTGCTATTTATTGGTGACTATCAGGCAGCGAGAATTTGGATTTAAAAAAATATTTTTAAAAGATTCACTGATAAATTTTGGTCTCACTTCTGAAATCAAAATCATTTCTTCAGTTACTTTATTATTAGAGAAGTTTTTTGTAATAAAGTTGAGCATCATTTGATGTTTTATCTTTCAACTCTTAGCATATGACACAACGATTACAGTACCAAGCATAAATTATAAATGATTTTTCATTTACAGTCAATGCAAACAGCTGTTTATCTTAAAAGTAATTATTTTCGAAAATTACAACTCATTCATTATATGATCTGAAAAATAGTTCTTTTAAAAGAAGCTCTTATTGTCAGACACAAATTATCCACAGTATTGAATATTCTTGAGCAAAAGTTTGCTCACCTGATTTCCAAAGACGCCAGCAGCACAAGCCGTAGAAACCTGTTCAGGACCGAACCAGGTTGCAGCTAACCTTGAAGGCATTCCTAAGATGAATATCTGCGATGAGCCAACAATCGTTTGACTTATAAATGTGATCCAAAATCCGTCTTAACTATAAAAAATCATTCTCGTTTTGTCGCAAAATGTGCTGCAAGGATCTCCCCAACTTAGATATGTACCATTTTTGTTTTCATTCTTGATATCTCAGCTTGTCTGAACTTGCACCAAAATATGATAAGTTGAAAAATAAACAAAACTAACCAGGTTTGGCTGAAAATAATCTCAGCCAAGCTCCTATGCAATTACCACCAGCACCCAATAGTACTGATACTCGTACACCATACTTGTCAAGTACCCAACTATAAAAATAAGTCAGTGATAAAATTCGTAATGATTTTCGTAGCCTATAAGCACAAACTGGGAAAACGTAAGTTTCAACTGAAAGTCTTACTATGATAGGCGATAATCACTGTTGCAAGCAGATAAAATTTACGAGTACTATTAATTGAAAACGACTAAACCCCTACATATATGTTTATTTCGTTTGAATTAAGGAAACGAAATCGAAATGTTGAGAGAAATTGGCCTAACCTTGCTGGCAGCACGAAAAGAATATAAGTTAACATGTAAATCATCGAAGTCCAATCTACGGCAACGTACGAAACGGAATAAAATCGTACGATGATATGAGCGATAATTGAATATTCAATCCACTGCATAGCATTTGAAGCTGATAACATAATAAACAGTAACAATACATAGTATCGCTTCTTATAAATATGAGTTTCTTTACTCGTGACTTTATCTTTGATCTCTAGTTGTTCTTCTTTTGTTACCTCAGGCAATACTGTTGAGTTCATTTTTGACAATTATAGACTGAAGCGATTTGTATTAGTGATCATTTTTCAAGTGCTGTTTAAATTTATCTGTTTTCTTGGAGGTGCGTAATGAATTACTGCGGAAAAATTGAAAATTTGAGATTATTTTGGGATGTGGGCAGTTTATTTTATTCAAATGTAACCTTAAGAAAAAATTATAACTTCATTAATTATAATTTTTCACTAAAATAACTCAAGTTTAAGAATTCAAAAAGAAGTCATTCATTTGGGAACACAGTAAAATGCATGATATTATCGTACTTCTGTATTAATCTGCAAAATGTTAGCAAAAATTGGCATTTTTTAGATTGGTAAATATTTACAATAAATTTGCACTCACTGTTTATGTGAGTAAACTCATGACCTCATTTAAGGAAGCCAATAATTAAGCATAGCAAAATATAGCTATAATCATTTATCAGTTTCTTTAACAAATGAAATACATAAATTGAATGCGAAATAAAAACGAAAGAGGAAGAGAAGTAGAGAAAGTAACAATACGAGCAAACGCGCTTTCAAAATTTAAAAGCCCAAATGGATGCACTGCGTAGAAAATAAGCAAAATGAGATGAAAATATGAAAGTTTTATAATAATTACTCGCAATATCTTGCATTTATAGTGGAAGTAAATATTTACTTAACAGAACCGAATAGCTGAGATGGAATTTGCAGACTGAATAAGCAGTAGAAGTGAGTGGTGCATGAGCTGGTTTTACTGGGCATCAAATTGATTAATCAATCAACGGTTTGAATACCTATTAAAATGCAATTATGTCATTTTCTGCACAGTTAACAATGTGCAAATTGTGAGAGTTTTTTTTAATAATAGAAAAAAACTTGTGGGAAATGGCTTGTTTTTCATTTTTTCACTTTTTGGAAATAGTTAAATACTAGTCTGTTTTTAATGAATACGCAATTTAAGATGAAGCGACTTAGTGAATAAATAATAACTGGGCTAAATTTGATTTTCAGAAAATAGCACCAGTACGATTTATTTTACCCGCTCAATAAACAAATTTACTTTTCTGTGATGAAAAAAAGTAGTAAACTTTACTTCTCCACCAACCATAATAACTGCCGTTGTTATAACTGTACAAGCAAAGAGCTGGTTTTGGTAACTTTACTCAGCTACAGAACTAAATGACTGACCCTTTTCATGCATTCTACCGAAACTCTCGCCAAGATTTTTTTGGTAAAAGAAAGCAAAAGTTATGAGTAAATGGAACAAAATTAGAACATAAATTTGCACACTGAACTTTGATAAGTTTACTGCACAAAAATGTTCTGTTTAATGAAGCAAATTTCAGCCTTCACTAAGTGTGCTTTCTGCGTTTGATCATTCTAAAAATCACTAAAGTTTAAGCTTTATAAGTCAAAAATTGCGGGAAAATTGTAGGAAAAGTAATCAATTAATAGAAAGAATTCTAAAGAATGTAACATAATAATAATAATAATAATAGTAATAATAATAATAATAATAATAACATAAATGTAATAATAATAATAATAATAATAATAATAATAATAATAATAATAGTAATGATAATAACGCAAAGAATTGGAAATGAAAGAGAGGAGAATGGGCGAAAGAGAAAGCATAGGAGAATGGAAAAAGCAGGGCATTTTCAGCACATTTCTCTTGATTTCCTGGCGTGCAGTCAGTGAGGAGATGAGAAGGAGAGGAATGCTCAAGTGGGTAAGTAAGTAAGTGAGTAAGTAAGTTTTCTCGATAAGCTATTGTTAATTGACCTGTAGACAAATAATAATTAGGGGTTTGCCAATGATCAATTAAATGTTGATAACCGCGCCATAGTTTATTTCTGTGCAGAATTGAATTTACTATTAAGAAGCTTGAGCTGACCTTAAACCACTAATTCACATTCTCGTAATTTCACCCGAAATTAAGTTTGACTGTTTTTACTTAACTTCGGAAATTGGCAGAAAATAACCATAATTCAACTGGAATCGAGATTCTCATCGATTATCATCTCTTCTAGCTTGAAAAGATCGACCTAATATCTCTTGGCTTTACTGAGTCTCTCACACATTTGGGCACATTCTTGCAAGGAAATTATTGCTGCTTGCAAGGAACTAAATGTTCTTGATGATTGAACCCTTAGTGATTGACCTTTGACCTCGAGTTTTTAGGTCATCGACTGGAAAGAAATAACCTAAGAATTAAAGGTCTAGAGTTGAAATAACGTAAGCCACTTTATCCCAAAACATCTCATTTCATTTATTAAAAAATACAAACCACTGAACAAACTCACAGCAAGCACTATCTTTGCTCTCCCTACTGAATGTCTGTAATGTCAGTGTATTGCTGACTATTCACTATTGATCTTTTCAAATGGATTGAGAGAGTCTGACCTTACATCTGACCCATAACATGGGAAGCAGAAAGGCAGCAAAGTTGCAGTTGCAATGTCCCTGGCTCCGACTCAGTAAATGCTAAATTGATTATTTACGCATGTTGGAATTCATCACTCTGAATAAATGACGACTTCTTTAACTTGCATTTCTTTTTTTTTTAAAAAAAGTGAGACAAAAGGTAAAATTTATTTAATTATGAAAAGCGCAGTTCTTTTGCATTCCCATTAATACATGAATATTTGATAATTTTGCCAGTGTTATCATTACGACACTTATAATAGTAATAATTGTTTTAATGGAAAAACAACTCAGAACTGTGACGCACTCAGGAAGAGATAGCGATACTTTTAGTTATGAATTTTGACTTGAAACTTGATATAGAATAATGGTCATTTGACTTGCGTTGTTTGGTCTCATCAGGATAATCATTAAAGAACTATTATCATCTCAGATCATCCGTTGCAATTTGCGAAAGAATTGTTTTTAACGAAGTGATATTGGTAGCATCATTCAAATGATTTGCTTGAACACAAATTTCAGTGCTAACAACATTACTATAATAAAATTATAAAATCAAAACAGAAATTAAGGATTTTAGATAATTAGCTCATTTTTGTGCTAATCACACATTGCAAATGACAAACTGTTTAAGCATGCAATCAGTTGAATTCAAATTGAACTGTTAACAATTGCAATAAGCGCAAAAATTAATGTGCAAAAATGGTGCAAAATTTTCAGAAGAATTTAGTTGAATGGGTTGAATGGTTTTTTAGCGATTTTATCGCTATAAAACCATTCAACCCATTCAACTAAATTTGTAGTTTGCAAATAATAAATTTAATGCAAATAATTTGAAAGAAATGAAAAATTTATCACCGTGGTCTATTTAAAATATTTCCTCAACAAATACAAAATTGTTTTTGTTGTAATAATTATATGTCTTCTTGCTGGATTTTTATTCTCTTCAAATAATTCAACAAAAATTTTTCATTCTTTTACTTTGCTTTAATGAAAACCACAATTAACAAAAACATCCGTAGCACGCATCATTTGAAGTGAAAATTAAAAATAAAGCGATAATTTTAATCAGAATATTTCAAAATCTATAAAATACAAAATATAGCAGTATTTTGTAAAAGTAGTAATTAATTTTACTTAATACTTCATGTAAAATTTCTAAATTCGTTTCAAGTGCTTCTAATGAATCAGAAAAATGTTGGTTTTATGTGAATTCAAGAATCCAGCCTTTTTTTCTTTCACACTATCAATGTAAAGAAAACTGCATGATAGTGCCTGGTTCTATGCAAAAAATTTTCATATTCACTGCAAAATATCAAATACTTTGAGAACACAACGTTATTTTTAATAACTTGATACTGTTTACCTACCAATAAATGAAATAAAATAAAGCGCATTCATTAATAATAAAGCGCATTCATTTCATCAAAATAAAGCGCATTCATTAATAATAAAGCGCATTCATTTCATCAAGGTTTTCGAAGAACAATATTTTTAATAAGAAACATATTCAAATTCTGAAATAAAATCGAATTCCGTCTCTGAACCAATTCTTTGCACTATAATGTGCTGATTGATTAATTTATCCTAAAAAATGCACAAGTAGTAATGAAGTGCACTTGTAGTAATAATAAATTATTATTAATTGCGATAATGTGAGGAAAATAAATGTTAAAGATGCAAAAAACGAATATTATTTGTCTACGTTGATGACAGTTGGTATAAAATTGCAGAGATTCCATGAATTTTTGCTTCATAACTGATTTCCAAAATATGCCTTTTCGGGAATAATTATCTTTGAAACATTTGCTTAAATACGAAAAAAGTGGCCAAAAATTTTACAGATTGCTTGTCGCATTGCAAAATTAAGGCATATGAAAGTTAGTTACTTTTTCTGCTGCGAAATCACTTTCAAAATTTTAAACAAAATTAAAGTAATAAAAGATAATAATTTCTTTAAAAAAATGAAAAAAAATCGGCACTTTATGATAAAATATGGCACGAAAAAATTACAAAATTTTGCTATTTGTTTTAATGAAATTTGATAGTTTATGTGATTACTGCTAACATTCTAAACTAAATATACTAAAGACGAATATTAGCAGTGCTCTTGATGACAATATTATTAGAATACATTTATTGAACTGTTCTAAACCAAATGCATTACTATTAGGGTATTGTTAGAATGCATTTCTGTTTCGTTTGATATTGGTGATAATATTAATGATAGTATGATTCATTGTGCAGTAGAGTAGTACAAAATTCTTGGCTTGAAACAATTGGCTTTTAGATTGAAGCGAAGATAAATTGTCCTTTCAAATGGAATGCTTTGAAAATTATTGAAAATTGAATAGATGACAAGCATTAAGTAAATATCAATAACTTTTGATGTATTCCTGCAAATATCTTAGTAGATCTTTATCGAGAATAGCTCGAAAATCATATCTGATGGTTTGCACTTGGAGTTAACAGACGAAAAATCCTTTACTTAATGCGTAACAAAGTCTCCTTTAGATAGTTAAGATTACTGAACGGGACTTGCAAGTTGTGCTTTTTGAACAGTCTCAAGAATGTTTTATCAGTGAATATTCTTGATGAATGCTTTATTTGTAGGAAATCTTATTGCAAATTATTCGACTTATTTATGGAAATAGGCTTTTTTAATTAATAGATAAATCTGGAAAAATCCAAATAGGCAGAGAATGGGGAAAAATTGCATCTACTGAACCAAAATAGGCCGTTGTTCCTTTTTTGAGGTCATTCCACACTTCACAAACTTGTTTGCGGTGCGCGACCACTTGACTGTACTGTTGTCCTACAGCAAGGTCGTTCTTGCGCTCCCTCTGAATCGACCGGCGGTGGATCACTCCATTAGGATGTCTCGAAAGTCGTCCTTACTATACCTTTCTTTCCATCTTTTAACTACTTTTACCTTTCTCCCAGGTAATTTATAAACATGCTCAAACTGAACTTTGCTATTGCTCTGATTAGTTATTGTTATACTGTTTTTACACTTTTGCTACAAAAAGTCCATTTGCAACAAATAATTACTTCATTCTCATATATTAGCAAATTCTAATTCCAAAATTTTGTTTATTATAGCTGGCTGCCGTTATCTGATTTGTTCGTACTTTATCACTTGCTGATTGAAATATTTTGTTTTAGAGTTTATTTTGCTTTTTTAAAAAAAATATTGTGTTGAAGTCATAAAAAAATTGTTAGTAAAAATCATAACTGCCCCCAAAAATGAATGCTACGCAAATGAACCAAAAAATAATAATCGAAGTTTTAATAAATTAGTTTGTCGAAATCGCCGATAAAAGTTTTTATCAATCAGTAAAGCAAAGAGTAAATGTGATCAATTTGTAAAAAAATATTTCCTCTCGCTGTTTAAAGGTAAAAGTATTGTTTAGGTCAGTGTTCAAAAGACATATTTGAGACAAAAGGACAGATTCTGGGTGAGATTGGCAAAAAGCGTAATGCCGAAGACAGCATACCTGTAATTGAAATACGAGGGGAAGGGCAGCCGATGAGTGCTGCGCAAATTAGACAGCTTGAAGAAGCATCAAATGGCGGCCCACTCGATATTAAGGCAAAAAATTTCATTTTTAGCTGTTTTTCATGCATATATTTTGGCCCTTAGGCAAATATCTCATGTTTTCGCAAAATTCAATGATTTCATCAAACTGAGTCATTTGATATGCTTGTTTGTTACTGACTAAGTTTGACTTGCAAAAACA